GGGGGGGGGGGGGGGGGAGCAAGGGAGGATTTCCATTGGTGCTTGATGCCTGCCCACGTGTGATGAGGCCTTCGAAGCCCAGGGGCCGCAGGAGGGGTTGGAGAACTTGGTGTTTCTGGGTTCAGGGTCTGTGCTTCATTCTTCTCTCCACAGATCCAGAGCCAGTGGGTGACTTTCCCTGTGGCAAGGAGGCCCCAGCCCGGCTGTGTGAGGGCGACACCGAGTGCCGGGAGTACTGGCCGGGACCCAACTTTGGCATCACCAACTTTGACAATATCCTGTTTGCCATCTTGACAGTGTTCCAGTGCATCACCATGGAGGGATGGACTGACATCCTTTATAACGTGAGTTGCATCTTGGCCCTGGGACTGTGGATGGACCCTGGAGCTCCTAGGATCCCATTTGGGGTGACGTTCCTGACCTGAGAGCCTGTGCCCAGCCCCAAGTTCCTTCCTCTACCCTAGGATGAAATACAGGCCCCTTCCTTCAGATGACTCCACCAAGGGCCCACTGTCATCAATGTCAACTCGAACTCTTGACCTAGGTCCTAGAGTCTCCAGGACAGCTTCTCTCATGAAAGTAAAACTGAGGGCCAGGTAGAGAGCCAGCAAAGAAAATGCCAGGGAAGATGCTACTGCTGCTGCTGGTCACATAGTCACAGTGCCAGTCCCTAAGGCTCACTGCAAGCTTGCTCCAAGCTAGGCCCTGCGTGAAGTGTCCTATCCCTGTTAACTCATAGAGTCATCTCAAGAACCCCATGTACAGTGAGGAAACTGAGGCATGGAGGGGCTGTTGAAGTTGCTCAAGGCCCTGCGACTGGTAGGCAGCTTGCTGGGAACTACTAGTTGTGCCATCCCTGCTGGGTTTTCTGGATGGAGGGAGGGAGAGGGAAGGCTGCTGGGCCTCTTGTTGTCCCTAGGCTGCCCGGTAAAGACAGGAGCAGGGCAGGGTTTATGGCTGCACTCAGCAGACTCTCAGGAAGACTTCTCTGATGGCGCTGGGGCTCTGGGCTCAGAGTGTGTGTCTTGCACATTTCTGTCTTCTCTGCCATGTCTATCTGGTGCTGTTTCCTCTTCATCCTCTTGCCCACGAGGATGCCTGCCTGTCACAGTGATGTACACAGGGCAGTCTGGGTTGGTACCCATGACAGAAGCTGGTCTAATGCCCTTGCCTGGTGGCCCATCTCACTGCCACCTCTCCTCCATGTGACGCTCTTCTGGGAGGACTCGACCACAAAAGCTTGAGCAGAATTCTGTCTCTTTTCTTATGTGATGACCTCCCTCGCTACCTCCTACATGCGGTAGCCCTATGAGCCACCGGGGCATAAGAACAATGAAATTAGTCCCTCAGGGACTTTGGGAGGTCGACAAGGAAGGCACACATGAGCTAGAAATCTTGGAAGGTTTGGCTGGGAAGGTATGGCTGGCGGATTGCTGTTTTCTGGATAGCTAGAGCGAGCTCTGCTTGTGGGCTGTGGGTGGAGGACTTGCAGGTACAAGACACCTCGTGCTGAACCTGCCGCTTGGGTGCTGAGGTGGGGTTTGGGCTCTAAGCCCCTGGAGGCCTGGGTTCCCGGCCTCTAGGAGCCCGGGGAAGAAATGACGGTGCGATAGTCTGGTGGCATGAGGGACAGGAGGAAAGGGGCAGACTGGGGCCCTCTACTCTGTGGGTGCATGGAAACCCAGGTGGATCTCAGGGCTAGGAATCCAGCAGATGCTTGGGAAATGCTCACTGAGCATGCAGAGGGAAGGTGGAAGTTCAGGAAAAGCTGGCCCAAAGTCCCTTGAACCAGATCCCTCCTTGGACTGGGAGTCGTGTCTCCTGACAGGCTCTGTTTAATTGAGGAAAAGAAGAACAGGCACAAAGGCAGTTATGAGGAGCTTGACTGTCCTTTTCCTACAGCCAGTCAAGGAACGATTTCCCAAGGACAGACCCTAAAAATAGCTCTGAGCTGGCCACATCCCTGCCAGCCCCACCTGAGCAAGGGCTGCATGAACAGGTCTCTGCAGCTTTCAGTGCCCCCTGGGACTTGGCCAGGGGCCCTGGTGACTCAGATGGGTGGGTCTGTGCCCTGTGTGGGAGGGGCTGAGCAGGAACTAGGCCCTAGGGCAGGACTGGTCACGAGAGCCACAGAGGGTTCATTTGGCATATACTTCCATTGGACCCGCTGGGCTCTGGGCACCCCCGAGATGCTACATGTACAGTGGTGAGCAGAAGGTGTTCGATAAAGGCCTTATAATGCCAAGTGCTTTAAAGAAAACAAAGGTGGATGAGGGGCAGGGAGTAATGAGTTAGACACCTTGTGAAAGCCAGGCCTGGTGAGGTCTGGAAGCCAGACATGCAGGTGCTATGAGATTGTGCCTTGGCGGTTTGGCAAGGCACCGGGACACAGTGACAGGGGTGACCTGTGAGGTGGCCTAGACCTGGCTGGGTCCACTCTCCACACTGGGGGGTAAGAGGGTGAATTGCTGCAAATCAGACTGGGTGTTTTGAAGGGGATTCTTCAGAGAAAGAGCCTGCCGCTTGCCTCCAACCCGGTGCTCCAACCCAGACGTGCTCCTGGAGAGTGGAGCCCCAAGTGACAGTGCCGGGATTTCAAGGGCAGGAGCCACTGGCCTGCCACGGTGGGGTGGAGGGAGAGAGGTGGAGAATACACTCAATGTTGGGAACAGAGGAGGGTGTGTGAGTGTTTCTCATGGATCAGCTATGGCCAGGGGACAGTAGCCAGCCAAGAGCCCTTTTAAATTCTGACCAGGGCGAGTGACGTCTCAGTAGAGAACCTATGTTCACAACAGACTGCTGGAAAAATGGGGGTGGGGGTGGGGGAGTTCTCCAACTGAGGGAGAAATGGCTTGCCTGCATTTTGAAAAGTAAGTGGAGTCAAATGGGTTCCTGGAAGAACCCACAGAAATGCCTTGTGAGAGAGGAGTCAGCAGTAAATTTCCGTCAGGCCCAGAAAGATGAGATTATCTCAGGGCACGGCCAAGCATGGAAAAACTTGCCTTCCCTCCCACCCCCCACCCTTTTTCCTCCCCTGCTTGGATTGTGTCGGGGTCAATAACCCAGCCAGCAGCAAGCCGAGGAAGAAGGAACAGTGTTAGGCGTGGAGGGGCAAAGAGGGACCACGCCTCCCTTTCCCAGTGAAAGCAGCCAGCTGTGGCAGGCCAGCTAAAAGAGTAGATATTCTCAGTGTAAAGCATGTTAAGTAGTTTTATTGCCAGCTGGGATTGGACACTTAATTACTGAATTGAGACTGTGTTTTCTACTTAAAGTGATTGTAGAACTTTCTACTACCCAGGAGTTATCAGAAAAGTTAAGGACTTATCCAGGTTTTTATCCAGGGGCATGAATATGTTCAAAGGGACAGTAGGAGGTAAGTGAAGTTGGCTTATGATTATATACATGTGGTTTTGCATATGCTCGTTGTACTGGTTACACGAAGCTCTGAGGAAGGGTTGTTCACATGTATAGGTGCAAAGGCCGTGTTTTACAGTGAGCACAGGTAGGGCTTGCTCGTCTGTTGGGTGTGCAGTGTGAGAGAGAAGAACCAAAGATGTGACATCAGCCACTGGGGAAGGTGGTGCCCTTTCTTGAGAAGGGAGACTTGGGAGTGAGATATTTGCTCGGTTTGTTTCAGTGGAGTAGTAGTGGAGCCCAGGGACTCTGATTTGCCTCCATAATGTTTCAAAGAACTGGTTTCATGCAAGGGAGACGCTGAGTATACAGTTGGGTATATGACAGGGAGCTCAGAGGAGACAGCAGGGCTGAGGGTGTCTGTCTGAGATCATGGATGGAGTTTAACATTATGGGAGAGGATGTGATTGGCTCAGCAAGGAATGTAGAAGGAGAAGCAAAGAAGGCCCAAGACCGAGCCCTCTCTGAGCTTGGCTGTTGGGGGAATTCCAACATTCCGAAGACAAGTAGGAAAGAAGGAGCCAGCGAGAGACCAAGGTGGAGCCTTTGAGGCAGGGTAGAAGCAGCACCGTGAGCATGCTGTGTCTTGGAAGCAGAGCTAAGAAAAAAGTTTCTAGAAAATGACCTAGGTCCTAGAAATGATCAACCAGGTCAGAGGTCAAGAAAGATGCTGGTAACTTGACAAGAGCGGTTTCGGTGGTGGGGGTAGAAGCTCGGAAGGTGCAGGTTAAAGGTGAGGCAGGATGAGAGTGAGGACGGCAGGTGGAGTCGGCTCTTTGCCGGAGCTCCCTGTGAGGTGTAGCAAGACGGTGGGAGGGAGCTGCAGGGAGAGATGGGGGTTGGCTGGTGGTTTTTTTCTAAAGTAAACTCTATTTGAGATAATTGAGGGCTTATGTGCAGTTGTAAGAAATAATACAGAGAGATCCCGTGTCTCCTGTAATGGTTACACCCTACAGAACTAGTGTGCCTCACAACCCGAATACTGACACTGATGTCATCGAGATATACAACATTCCATGCTGGAAGGACACCCAGGTTGCCTTGTAGCCACACCAACTTCTTTCTTACCCTCACTCCCCTCAATCCCTGTTAACCACTAGTCTCTTTGTCACATCTGTAATGTCAAGGAGGTTATGTAAATGAAACCATAGTATATGTCACTTTTTGGTATTGGCTATTTTCACTCACATGATTCTTTGGGGATTCATCTAGATTAATGTGTGTCAGTAATTGGTTCCTTTTTATGGCTGGGCAGTCTTCTGTGATATGGGTGGGCTAGGTTTATTTAACATTTACCTGCTATAGGACATATGGATTGTTTTCAGTTTGGGGCTGTTGTGAACGTAATTGCTCTACACATTTGTGTACAGGTTTTTGTGTAAACATAAGTTTTCATTTCTCAGGGATAAATGCCTCGGAGTGCAATTTCTGGCTTGTATAGTAGTTGCAAGTTTAGTTTTTTAAGAAACTAAAAATTTCCCAGAAGGCTGTATTCTGTTACATTCCCATCAGGAGTGGATGGATAATGTAGCCTCCTCACCAGTATTTGATGTTGTCATCGTTTTTGACTTTAGCCCTTCTGGTTAAGTGTGTACTGATATGTCATTATGGTTTTAATCCACACTTCCTAATGGCTAATGGCGTTAAGTATCATTTCCTACTTTTTTGCCATTCATTTATCTTCTTCAGGGACATACCTCTTCATATCTTTTGTCCACAGTTTGTCTGGATTGTTACTTTACTCTGAAGTTTTCATATATTCTAGGAACTAGTTGGTTGTCAGATATGTGGCTTGCAAATACTTTTTTTCTAGTCATTAACTTGACTTTTCATACTCTTCACCTGGTTTTTCACAGAACACGCATTTTTAATTGTGAAAAAGTCCAGTTTATCAGTTTTTCCGTTTGTAGATTGGGCTTTTAGGGTCAAA